ATATGATCCTATCACTTTTCAGTGATTTCCCACAGCTCAAAAGTATTAACAAGAACCTTGAAGGCACTGCATGACCCAGCTCTCATACTGCCTTTATAGTTCACTTGCCAGCTATGCTACCTATCACTCAAGTCATACTGGCCCACTCTACTCCTCCGATGAGCCAAACTCCTTCCTGTTTCAGAGCCTACTGTCCCCTTTTCCTGGAAGGTCTTCTCCCTTAGCCTGGCTAATATATACCTATCCCTCAGGCCTTCCTGAAAAAGATTTTTCTGACTTCTCAGGCCAGATTAGGTCCCTTGTTTTATACTCTTATTACATGGTGTTATTTTCTAATTATATAACTATGTATGTGATTCTGATTACTATCTTACTCCCAAAAGACTATAAACTTCATGAGGGCAGGTAATGTACCTGTTTTGTTTACTACTTTATTCCTAGTGCAAAGTACAGTGCCTGACATAGTATGTGCTCAACAATTTTTCTTGGAAGGAGAAGAAGGAAGAAAAGGAACGAGGAACAGAAGGAGGGAACAGAAGGAGGATAAAAAGGGGGAAAGAAGAAGGGAAGCAGCCAGGAAAGGAGGAATGGAGGCCCCACTGGAGCTGGGAAGATATTTGATTCCCCTTCTCTAGTTAGAAAGCTGGAAGAGTGAAGAATGGCTCTTACCTGAGGTCCCAATGTTTAAAGGGAGAAGTTGAACGTCAGAATTTTGTCCAGGGATAATGCTGAGTTCAAACCACAGAAGCAGGTCTGAATGCGTCATCAAAGCAAAGGGGGTCTGAGGTGAGTTTAGGTATGGAGCAAAATAGAATCGGAAAAGGAGGAAAGATGAGGGAAAATAAAAAATAATCTGTACAAATTCAAGATGCAGTAGGGCAAAGCCACCAACTGGGTTTATTTCTTGTTCCTAAATGCTTTCTATGCATAAACAAAACAAGTCTGATTAAAGGGACATAGACCACACATAGTTGCCATAGATAGATAGATAGATAGATAGATAGATAGATAGATAGATAGATAGATAGATAGATGGATATTGCCCCAATATATGAATAAATTGGTATTCTTATACAAGAATTTGTATATTTGCCATTTTCTTATGAGTGTGATTAACTCTGGGAATACCAACAAGAGTGCATTAAGTTAGAATTTATGCAGAACCATGGTACCTGCCTCCATGCTGGAGCTCAGTGAAACTCTGCCTAAACATTTATTTGGCTCCTCCCTTCTCTACATCTCGATGGCATCATTTTTTAAAATTCAACATTTTGAACTAAAGTTATCAAGCTCTTAACTTACACATTATCTCTTATTTCCCCTCCTTGATCATCAGCTCCTGGGGAACAGGGATGGTAGGTGTCTAGTTCATTTTCTTATTTTCTACTGAGTCCAGCATATTGACTTCAAATAGTAAGTGCTCAAAAAATTATGAATAAATACTTCTATATATTTCACAGGTGGGTAGGAGTGATTACTTAAATGAAATTGTTAACTTTTTGAGGAAAATCTTTTTAGTCTTGAATTTCTTCTGAAAACATAAGGAATCTCTAAGGCATTTCCAAACTGTAAACTATAGGGACAATGACAAAATGTCTTATATGTATATTTTACAACATCTATATCATTTGTAGTATATTACTGGGCACATAGTGGGAACTCAATAAATGTTTGCAGTGAACTGACTCCAATATAGATATATTGAGTTGAGAAGAAATGCATAGATGTGTTTCTGAAGCTTCATATAAATTGTTTGTGAATTGAACATTATTTAAAATATACAAGAGAAATTTGTTATTAAATGGATTCCTAAGGTGAATTTTTTACAACATTTAGAATCATTCTGTAATATAGTAACTCCTCAATTTAGTTCATTTTTTTAAGTTTCACATTTTTATATACCAAGGATGCCAACAACAGGGTAAGCCAGATTAGTAGCTTACAGTTATGAGAGTGCCAAATGATTTAATATTGACTAAATTATATTATTGTTCTTAGAGAGAAGTGTCCCTCTCTCTAGTTTCCCAGATGCTCTCTCTCTTGCGTGCACACACATACACACACTCTTTTTCCCTTGTGTCTTAAACTTATATTTCAGCTTTGGTAGGTCTACTCTGATTTATAATGCCATGCATACACTTGTTTACCCACATGACTCACCAGTTTTGATAATAGGTATGTCTGCCATGATGTCTGGATCACCGATAGTATCTAGACTTTTCAGGTCATCTGTCTTTCTTGGTGGCTTTGGTAGGAGCATGCTGGAAGTTGAAGCTTCTCCAGCTAAAACGCAATAGATCTAGGTTATCCTCAAGGTGGGATTCAGGGGAGTGCTCCTTATTCCCTTTCATTTTCCATATAACTTTCAGCTGTCCAGAGCTTTCTATCCAAAAATTCTGTGAAAAATTACAGAAGAGATAACTTCTCGACAACTATCTTACCTCAAAAAGATTCTATTCTTTTGACATAAATGGGGGGAAAGCAGAATATATAACTAAATATTTTGAGGCTGGGGTGGAAGAGAAAACCATTTTTCTTTGGGGTTGATGTATTTCATGGTTTCTGGAGTGTCAATTACAATAGCAACAAGGACTCCCACAGATGAGCCCAGATAGGTTGAAATAATTCACAAAGGACATAGAAATCAAAGACTACCTCATAAGCTATAAATCTTATTCCCCCTCAACTTCCAAGTTCTCCTTATCTGCCTGGGGCCTATATCCACAAACTAGACCAAAATCTTACCTATACAAGGAAAAGACACTATTCAATGACAAATATTTTACCATAGTGAGAATGGAATAAACAAAGTAAGTTAACTCCTAAAGTATGTATTTACACTAGAAATTCTCACATTCTATATTGAGACTTCCTGTGAGAGAACCCATTCTGTCACTGGAGTATGATTAAGAGATGATGGTACCTGTTCTCTGAGGAGTCCTGACTAACTGGCGAGATTGAATCACGCACATAAAAAATTTCAGACGAAATTCCTCTTTATGCATGGTTGTCTCCTAGAAATAGAGACAGAATTTAATTCAAATGAACAGGTTTATGGAATGATTAAGATGTCAATGACTGACATGGACCAGGTATATTCAATACTACTAGGCCTTGGCACTTAAAAATATAAAAATATCAGCACATGAGGTGATACAAATAATCTACTCTTAAACATTTGACAGGGAAGGATTCCCTCAACTCAGCAAGCTGCTGAGAGTATCAAAAAGGCTGGGGGGCGGGGGGAGGTGTCCAGAAATTTCATTTCTTTAAGTCTTGAGCTCAGACTGGGGCTGACATCTGGATCTACCGGTAGAGGGCCTATTCAGAGCCTTTCTCCAAGACTTCTAGACAGAGTCTAGGTTCAGAGGCCTCCCACGTTGAGGGGCTTGGTAAACAGTCTGAATGAACAAAATATTCCTTCCCATTATTTTTTCTTAGAACGCATGGCACAGATTACAAGTTAATGTGGTCCCAGGAATAAGATCAAGGCCCTTCAGAGGTCAGACTCCTGGGTCCTTTCCTACCTCTATCCCCCAAAAATAGATCTCTGATGGGCCCACAATAGCTTTCCTCACATCTCTGCCCGTGTTTCAAACTTCTCCAGAGTGCGGGAAGATTCTACATGTTGCCAGAGTCTAACTTAAGCCGTCCCCAAGTTGTCTTTTTTCCTTTTTGTTTTCGTTTTTTTTTTTTTTTATTGCCGAATGATCAAGCATGCTGTAGTGCAAAGAGGATAGGAATGCAAGTTAAGAAACTTGTTTCCTAGCCCTAGATCTGCTATGCACTTTAAAATAGAAAATCAGTTCGCTTTTCTGAACTTGTTTGACTAAAATAACCTCTACAAGCACTAACGTTCTGTGATTCTCAATAAAACACTATATAGCCTGAGATCGATTCAGATCTCAGGTCTCCATCTGTTGGGGAAGCCACAGGTTCTCGCAGATCTAGGGGCACAGCAAAAAGCTGCCATGGAAACCGGAGCGTAAGCAAAAATCGCCGTGCGGAACCAGAAGGCGTCGGGTAAAGGAGGCGAGGGAACAGAGAAAAGCAAAGGACGAAGGGCGCACTAACAGTATTCCAAGTACGAGAAAGAGAAAAAAACCAGACTGAAAGGTTAACTGGCAAATTATGACTACAGTCTGCTCCCTTGGCTTCTCAGGCCTCGCCACACCGCGCAGGCGTCCCACTGGTCCTTTATTTTGCTCTTTGACCTCCTGCCCCACCCCCCCTCCTCCGCAGCCACCGAGCGGCTCTTCCGGTGTTGTAAAGGTGATTCCGGTTCGCGGCGGTTCCCGGGTTTTGCGTTCCGCGCCCGGCCGGAAACCCCTTAGCTTGGCAGCCGGTTCCGGTTCGGTGAGTGGCGGCGGGAAGCTGGGGGAGGGGTGAGGATGGAGGGAGTCTGGGCCGGGAGGCTGTGTCGGACTGGGCCAACTGGCCTGGACTGCGCTGGGCGGAAGCGGGGACTGCTGGGGGGCCGGTGCCTTTTCCTCTGCCCCGCCCCCTGGGACCACTTCCCCTCCCCCCTGCTGTCTGGCGGCCGCGGTCTGGCCAGTGGCCGTTAGTAAGGCTACCTGAGGCTGTTCTTTCAGGCCCCCTTTTATCCTGGGCCGCGGAAAGGCCGCCTCTCTGCCGTTCCGGCAGGCCCCATCTCAGCGCCTAGCCCTACGTGTGAGGAAAAGGCCGGCTGGGACTCTGGGGCTTTCCCGCCAGAGCAGAGTCTCCTCTCTAGGGAGAGCTGTTTTGACCTGGAAGCTCAGCTTTCTATCACCACCTGCTTCACCTCCCGCTTTCTTTGAGACCTGAATGATATTTCTCGACTACTTCTGCGTCTCACGTAAACATTTCTCCAACTCTTTTACTCTGTGGTATCTCCCTGAGATGCGATATCGCTAGTGCCACCACCAGAAAGAAACGTCTGGACCCTCCTGCCCAGGTTATGAAAATCCCCTTAACTGCCGCAATTTGCTTACCTGGCTCATCATCTCCTGGTAATTCCATTGAACTGTCTCTTTCTTGGTGTACCCTAACGCGATCTTTCTGGGTCTATGGCCAGTTTCTGTTTTCTTGAGCTTGGTGATTTCTGTTTATCAGTGCCTCTGCAGTATTTCCACTATCTTGTTGGCAATAACTTGCACCTTTATCACTTTCACGTCAGCCTTGTTAAAGTCATTTCACTTCATGTTTGTACACTTACTATATTTGGGGTGGTGGTGATTCTTTCAAAATTTATATAAAGGCTATTGTTGGCTACCAACTATTTGATTTAGGGTCTTTGTTGTAATTGGTTATTCTGGATGGAGTAGGTCACATCATCTCCTAAATCTTTATTCTTTATAAAGACAATTTGTGTTAAGGACTTGTGTTGAAATTGAGATTACACTGACTTTGAAATTACAGTGAAACCGTAAGCATCTCTTTAAACATATCCCTTAACCACCTTCCAATTTAGAGATCCCTTCTTTTTTTTCTCTCTAGTCCCCTTTCGTATGTCTCATTTATTTTTATTTTGAGAAGGCTTGTTCACTTTTACTTGATTTCAATATTATCCCAACTACAAAGATGGTTTTCATATCACCCATCTGATGAGTTAATTCTAGAGGGAGTGGATAGGTATAAAAACAGGTTCTGCTACTTCTGGCTAAAGTGATGTAATTTTTAACTACTGCTTTGGAAGTCCTTCCTTTTGTTCCACCTCTCCTACCATTTACACCAGCTTTACTGTCTTGCTGTATCTGTTTATGAATCTGGCTTTCCCTACCTACACCTTGAGCTTCTCAATGGCAGGGACCAGTTCTTATTCATTTTTGTATCCCCAATACCCTGCACGAGTAGTTGGTGCACAGTAAATGTATGTGTATGAAAGACGTTGAATACTGAGAAGGTGTTAGAGTCTAACTGGGAGACATTACATGTAAGAGTAGAAGAGAGAAAAAACCCCAAATACATGATTATATAGTACAAACTGTTTCATATATAAAGTTCAGGGTAGGGTGATTCACATTATCACTTCCACACCCTTCTCATATCATAAATTCTAATCACATACTTCTCCTGGATAAAGCCAACAATGCCTCTCAATATATATCTCATCATAGCCCTAAACAGTGTCTTTTATCATAGCCTTTTTGTCTGTATGTAAGCTTATATTTTACCAGACTTGTTACATTCTATTACAGTCAAGACTGTCATCCTTTTTTTTCTTTCAGATTTCCTATTACCTTGTTTTCAGTTATTAAGCTGACTTCACTTGAATAACTCTAACTGCTCGTGTTTTTCCACTAAATTAAATGACCAGCGTGTACTGGGAAAATCATTAGAATGATTTTCTTAAAAGAGAAAAATTCTTATACTTGCAAGAATTAGGTGGCATCAAAGTTTCCAGGTCCAGTGTTTCATGGAGAACCTCAGGGTAAAATATCCCTTCTCCCAATATAAATTGCAAAGTGGCTAAAAGAAAATACCATAAACACACCAAAGAATCCATATATATTTGTATTAAAATGTAAATGTAGGGCTTTATTTAACATTACAAGTCAGTGTGGATTCTCCAGGGTTAGCTAGAGATTACATTGCCAGTGTAAATGAATCTTTGAGGTTGTGTTAAAAGATTTGAAGTTGTATGATGTTGGAAATTTGTCCTGGAGTCAGGATACCTGGATTCTTATATTCCCTTTGCCCTATCTGTGTGATTTCAGGCAAATCACTTAATGTCTCTGGATTTAATCTGTAAAATTCTTCGAATTTCTAGCTTGCTTCCCTCTTCACATCTGTCTTAGCAAAATGCAAAGGAAAGTAACATGGGATTGTCCCACTGGGCACCAGCCTTTTAAAAAGAGACTAGGATGACAATAATGAAATCACCTGAAAGAGTAAAATGTGAAAAAAGCACTTCTAATTTATTGGTTGATAGGATTGTTTCTCCTTAATCTGGAACCTAGAGAATTCTACTCTATTAAAGAAGAGAGAAGGGAAGGCTGGAGAATTTCCAGATTTTGTTAAATTGAACATTTGGAGATATATTTGAAGCCTAAATCTAATGGTAAGACTATGTAATCAGATGATTAATTCTGCTTAGTCTATACCTGTGCCAAAGAAAACTCAAGCAGCCTTGCTTCGTGTGCACCTCGTTATTGTGACCATAAAGAATGCCCATTATCATCCAGTCTCCTGAATATATTTAAGCCCTAGTTATTGCTGTGTAGTTGATGAAGTGCTCAATCTTTTTAAAAATATGGTGATAAAATTGTAAATATATATAGGTTTGACTATTACCATCTCTAGTCTCCTCTTGGAAATCTGCCAAGAGCATATGTGCCAAGGATATGTTTATTAGCCTTGTTCTAAGCAGTTAGGCTTTTGACTTCCTTTTTTTCTGGGAAGAGTGGATACATTAAAGAAAGTAACTTTTATATAGGCAAAGGCGCTTTGCTTTGTAGCAGTTTGATTGAAGATGTTGTTGCAGTGGAGTACTTTCTACAGCTGTGAAGTAGTCCCTGATTGTCCTCAGAATATTAGTAGCTTTATATTTGGTCACTGAGTAAGGCATGTGGTCACTGAGTAAGTCTTAATAGGACCATCACAAGGTCTGTCATTTTTTAAATAAAATACCATGAGGAAATGGAGCAATGGATTGGGAAGAATTTCTAGATTGTGATTTCGGTATGGTCACTAACTTTACTACCTTATGCAGATCTTTCAGTCTTCTAAGGGTTGGCTCTCCCAATTTGCTTCTTGCTTTAATATGCTGTGATTTAGGGGATAGTCTCTAATTGCTGTAGCACAGATTGCGGAAAGGTTTGGAAGTACCTTGGGCTAGTTTCAGTTTCTACTCTTCCTATCAGGTCAACTCCTTACCACCTTAGATTTTTCTCCACTAACAACACAAACAAATGTCACTTGTGAGTGGCTGCCTGTTCTATAATTATATGAAGTAGATTTTTCAGTATGTAATGTTTCTGTTTTGTGTTTTCTTTTATAGGACATTGTATCTTTGCTAAAGTCAGTGATGTGAAAAGACTTGACATGGGTAAGACTAACCCATTTAATCTTTTTAGCTACTCTGGTTGGAGTGAATGCTAGGGTAAAAGAATGGATTTTCCTAACATTTTTAATAATTGTATCTTTGTGCTTAATAATTTTAAGAGAGATCTTAATCCTAATTGTGTAATACTATATATGAAACATAATTTTCTTTTGGTTAGAACATTGTTTACAAAGTCATTTAGGAACATTTTCTCATTCATTGTTTTGAAAAAGCCAAATATACACAAGCAGTTTACTATGTGTCAGCCCCTGTTCTAAGTCTCTAAAATGTATTAATCCGTTTAATCCTTACAGTCACCTTACAAAGGTACCTAATAGTACCCACAAAGTAGGTACTGTCATTATCCCTACTATATTAACACAGTTAATATAAATTCTGAGACACAGAAGTTAAGAAACTTGCCTAGGGTCATTATACTATAACTGGCAGAGCCAGGATTTAAACCTAGGCACTCTGGTTCCAGGGTCCTTGTTCTTTAGTACTGTGTTATAGTGCCTTCTATATGATAAATAATTTGATTAAGGTAAATATTTTATTTGTTTAGCTAGTGAATTGAGAATTAATTGTGATTAATTGGAACATTTTCACTGTTTCAGAGTACTTTATGTCTGTAAAGGGGATCAATATAAAATCAGGACTAGTAGCCAATTTAGGAATAAGTTGAAAAATTTATATAGTTAGGCCTTATAATATCCCATATGCTCCTTTTAAATTTACGTTAGCCTTCTCTCTACTTTCTGTTTTTCCTCTTGTTTATTCTACCTTCTCCCTCCCCTGGTCATTTGTTTCCATTTTCTCTCATTGCGAATGTCAGTGTAAGTCATTGAGTTCCCTTTTCTCATTTGTTCCTATTCTATCTTTTTATAGTAACAAAGGTCTCAAAAATGGTTCTAGAGTAAGATTCTGTCACAATATTACAGTAATTGAGCTGATATCTGTTAAGAGCCATATGAATAAGGTATGCTTTTTACAGAAAAAAATTTTCTGATGGATTAATTTTTAAAGTACCTTTTTAAGTTAAAACAGGAAACAAACCAATGTTAACAGTGTTCGTTTCTGAATGGTGAAATTTTCCCCCATTTTTTTTGAGTCAGAGTCTCACTCACTCTGTTGCCCGGACTAGAGTGCCATTGTATTAACCTAGCTCACAGCAACTTCAAACTCCTAGGCTCAAGCGATCCTACTGCCTCAGCCTCCAGAGTAGCTGGGACTACAGGCCCAGCTAATTTTTTGTATATATATATTTTAGTTGGTCAATTAATTTCTTTCTATTTTTAGTAGAGACGGGTCTCACTCTTGCTCAGGCTGGTTTGGAACTCCTGACCTTGAGCAATCTGCCTGCCTCGGCCTCCCAGAGTGCTAGGATTACAGGTGTGAGGCACTGCGCGTGGTCTCCCATTTTTTAATACTTAATTTTTTTTTCCAATTACCACATTTGAAACATTTGTTTTGGGAAAATTTTATTACTTTTAAAACTTTACATTGTTTTTATATATGTACAAACTTTGAACTCTTTGGTAGATGATCTCAATCTATTCCAAATGAGCCAATGCACATGGGCCTCTTTTGATAATGATGTTTTGAGATTTCTTGCCAATGGTTAGCTATGAAGGAGGGATTTTATTTGACTATAGAATTGTTCTCTGGGAATCATTTTTGTTAGGTGAAAAGATTGGTTTGCAAGAAAAAAGTTATTAAAGAAATGTGACTTGAACTAATGCAGACTCTTTCTCCAGATGATATTGCTGATAGGATGAGGATGGATGCTGGAGAAGTAACTTTAGTGAACCACAACTCCATATTCAAAACTCACCTCCTGCAACAAACAGGTTTTCCAGAGGACCAGTTATCACTTTCTGACCAGCAGGTTAGGAATAATTTTCTTCCCTTAATTAATTATTTTGGCTCATCATAAGTTTTTATCTGATGTAGTTTAAATGCCACACTCAAAAATACAAGTATATATGTAAATTTCTTAGAATCAATAATTTTAGTGTTTAGAATTCTGTTTTATATATTATCGATGAGAAAGTTAAGACCAACCAGGCTATGTATGAGTTCCTTGAGAACAATAGCTTTTAGAAAACTCATCGTTCCTCTGAATATTATAATTACCAATACATAAATCAGTGTTCTTTTAAACCAGTGTCTTAAAATTATTCAGCATTGAATGGTGGGGGGGGGGGATATGAAAATATACAGCAGCTCTGAGATTTGACTGTGCTATAAAACTTAGTTTCTCAAGGGCTGGTCCAGAACCAGCAGCATCACTGGTAAGATTGTTAGAAATGTGGAATCTCAGGCTTCACCACATACTATGGAATAAGAATCTATATTTTAAAAACATCCCCAGCTGATTTATATGCAAATTAAAGTCTGAGGAGCACTATTAATAAAGCAACCTTTCTCAGTAGGAAAGCCATTGGTAATTTGGAAGAGATAGTTCTTTCCTGTGTGTACTAAGCATAATAGGATGTTTAGCATCCTTTGCCCTTAGGGACTAAATACGTATACCATCCCCTTATAATCATTTTGATATTGACTGTATCTCCACACATTTCCAAATCTGTACTAGGTGTGCAGCACTACCCCTGACTAAGAACTGTCTCTGAAAAGTTATCAGAAGAATCAAAACCAGGTTGCTTTTTCTCAGCTTTTTCCCCCTACCCTGGAGAGAGGGTCTGACTCTGTTGCCTGGGCTAGAGTGCAGTGGTGTTGTCATAGCTTACTACAACCTCAAACTCCTGGGCTGAAGTGATCCTCCCGCCTGAGCCTCCTAAGTAGCTGGGACTATAGGTGTGCATTACCACGCCCAGTTAATTTTTAGTAGAGATGGAGTCTTGCTCTTGCTCAGGCTGGTCTCGAACTCCTGAGCTCAAATAGTCCTCCTGCCTTGATCTCCCAAAATGCTAGGATTACAGGCATGAGCCCACCATGCCTGTCCTCAGCCTTCTTAATATATGTTATACAGGATATACTAAATATATATTTACTTTCTAATGAGCATTCTTTAAGTTGTATAACAGATATTTTGCCCATTTTTGCCCTTGATTGTCTGTGTTTTTCCTTATTAGTATGCATACTAATGTTTATAATATATAAATATAATTAGTTATGAGTTCTAAATATGCTGTAGTCTTGTTTAATGATACATTTTTCCTAGTATAAATTTTTACTCTATTATTTTGTCAAAAATGTGACTTAAGAAAAATCTTTTGCTTTGTTTAGATTTTACCTTCCAGGCAAGGAAATGTGGACCGATCTTTTACATGTTCCACAAGAAGTGCAGCTTATAATCCAAATTACTACTCAGGTATGACATATTACTTGGAGTCAAGGCACTTAAGCCTTTCAGATTTCTTCTTAGCAAATACTTTGCTTTTATCATCTCTATAAGTAAAAACATTGTTAAAAAGCAAAATGGTATTTTCTCCATTTTTGTCATTTCTATCATTTTGATAGCTTTGTGTGTGTATGTATGTGGTTGCTACAATACTTTACTGGTCTAGTCTCAAGCAAATACTAGTTTTTTAGTAGAAAAGTATATTTGGAATCTATTCTACTTGTCCATTTGCCGTTGTAAATAGCCATATAGCTTTTGTTTTGTTTCGTTTTTGTCTTTGACTTTTTTTTGGAATACGTGTATGTGATATACATATATTTATTTTGTAAATATACAAATATTTATTTTGTATTAATTTAAACTACAGAGCAAGTTTATTTCTATTCTCTTGAAACCATGAAACCTGAAAATTTATTTCTACCCAAGCGTGTCCCTCTCTCAGGGCAGGAAATGTTAACTACATGTTTCTGTCTAGCACCTGCCACAGCCATATGCTTGCATATTCAAGGGCTTGCCTATTCAGTTTGTGATCCATGACAGAAGTCAGCATTCTTTAGTCTAGGTTATTCCTGTCCCATGGCCTGCCTGAGTTATCTTCCCCCTTTCTAAGGTTTGGACTTCCAACCATCTTCTGCTTCTGCCTGGGGAAACTCAGAGTTTTGTTGGTTAGCCTTTCGGCAGTAGGACTCAGGAAAATTATAGTGGTCTTCCCAAGTCTTTTTACTCCTCATGCTTCAATCTCCTCACCACAAATATGGGAAAACCTGTAATACCATTGAACCTGCCTCAATGAGATTTTTATAAGGATAAATTGGGATGATAAATATGAAATGCAAATAATAATTATTGTTATTTGGCTTCCTCAGGATTCTTTGTCAGCAAGATGAGATCTCCTCCCCTAAAAAGACGTTAGTATGATGCTCTTTTAGATTTATATTATATTTAAATGTGATTTAGGTGGGCGGTACTTTATTTACCCTGGGCACTGGATTTCCTGTCTTGGGGTGGGCAGTGGTCTCCACATAGTATGTGCATAATTTGTCTAGAAAAATTAATTTTCTCAGAAAGTAACTCTACTGTCATTATTATTGAAAAGGCCTTTTTGATGAAGAGAGAGCCTAAAATCTGGTTTGATAGCTCATTATTAATCCTGTAGGAAGAACAGCTGAGTGATTAATTAAATCAGATCATCAGTATTTCTATTAGAACTCAGGCTATATTTCTTATAATTTCATATGCTGATTTACCATTGGATAGAATCTTTGCTTTAAGTTTAAAATAATTGCTTAATAATAATTATATAGAAGATAATACACTCAAAGTCCCCTGATGATAACTTCATTCTTATTTAATTCACCTTTCTGGCCTCTTTGATTATCTGTGTGTACATGGTATACATTGTATGATTCAACACATGTAACCTTTTTTAACTTAATATTTATGTTCTTCATATTTATCATTTTCTCTTAATTTCTAATCTTTGAAATTGATAGGTACATCTACAATCCCTTTTTAAAATTTTTTTTCAGCATATTATGGGGGTACAAATATTTAGGTTACTTATATTGCCCTTGCCTCACCTGAGTCAGAGCTTCAAGCGACATTCACAATCCCTTATGTACAATTTCAAAATCCATAAAGTTCTAAAAACCAAACAAAATTTTATAAATCATTTGGCATCAAAACTTGACCTGAATTCATTCCTTGGCAAAACCTACATGAACTGACATGAAACTGTTTATATTTTGTCTGTGTTTACCCAAGTAAATATAAGTACACATTTTGTTGCAGACGTATCAATGTTTGGTTACACAGTGCTACTCCAGATTATACTTGAATGTGTTACCTAATATACCAGAATATCTTTCTAAAATTCCAAAAATTTTGAATTTAGACATATAGTTAACTGGACTCAAGGGTTCATAATTTGAAAAAATGGGCCTGTACCTTCATTTGCTTCATTATTTTCCCTATGGTTTAGGTGCACTTCACCCTTACCATTTTCAGCTATTATTAATAACATGACTTAAAAACATTTGTATACATAGCTTTTTTTTTCTTTTAAATTTCAGTTGACCCTTGATATTCACAAAGAATATATCTGAGATCATCCCAAATTCTTATGTAATATTTTACAAAATTTCCAGCTTTCTACTCAGTTACGTGATTGTTGATAGTTACATTTTTCCTATGTTTATCCTTATACCACAAGTTGGTTCCCATGTCAAAAATCTTACTCTAAAGTTTTGTCTCTCTCTGGATTACCATTTTTTAGGAAAGGAAAAACAATGATCTCCAAGATTGCTCCCTAACAATCAGAATTTTAAGATCCCCGAATGCCAAGGGTCTATATACTTTTGTCTTATAATAAAGTCTTTAATTAAGAGCTATTTTTAAACTATGTACTTTTAAAAACTTCTTTCTTTTGCCATACCCATTCTAGTTCATTATAAGTCCTGTAGAATTTTCTCTCCACTGTCTGCTTTGGATATATTCTTTTCTAGTCCCCACATTGATTTCTGTGGTCAGTCACCTTGAGCCTTACCTCTTGATTGGGCTAGACATGGATCCCCAGTTTACCTGCCTTAGTCTTCTGATCCTGGCTGTGCTGGTATTTGTCTTCTTTCTGAGCCTGCTGTCTTCTCCTCCACCAGGATGGCAATGAGCAGGAAAGCCCAAACTTTAGAATCTAGGGTCTGGAGTTTCTCATTCATTGCTTTATTGGATTTACCTCTCTAGATCAAGTTTTTTTAAAAAAAAATCTGCTTCTCAGTCTATTCAAGATCAGATGATTAAAAATATAGATTTTGAAAAAAAAAATTTTTAGAAAACAAAATGCAGTGCTGTTTTACTTTAATAACTTAGTGATGATTAGGCTTCAAGGCCTTGCAGTTTTATTAACAGCACAATGAAAAGAAAATCAAAACATTTTTTAACTCTAAACAAAAGTAGATTAAGATGAAAAGAAATGATTTTGCTCATGCTTTGAGTCTTTGGAAAATATGTTAAATTAGGGTGCAAAACTAGCATTTAGTAAATAAGATGATTTAAAGCATTCTGCTATCTTATTAACTAAATAAATCCTAAAGTTAACAGGAGCAACTTGATGGTTACTTTCATAGTAAGTGGTTACCTGACATATTCTTCTTTTTTAATATAAAGTTTATAATGTTCATAGAAGTATTGCCTGTCCCTGCAAAAAATTTGTAGGGAAAAGTAGAAAAATAGCCCATCATTGTATCATTAGGACATAACCACAATTAAAGTTTAGGTGTATTTTCTTCTACTTTTGTATGTTTGTGGATGTAATAAGTAATCTTATTTGTGGCATTTGCAACTCTGATTACCTAGTGATGACAGACTATTGGGTTAAACCCTTATTATAAAAAGAGCATCTCTAGCCCCCTATTTGTCCCTCTAGCTTTACATGATCTCCTCAGCAATAGAAGACTATTCAGTGATTTCATTGAGTGGAGATGGAACCACTTTGTTCTGGTTAAACAGACTGATTTTGTGCTTTTTGCCCTTGTATTTTAAAGACGTAGTCTCTGTCAAGTGCCATGCCATTGAGAAGGCTACTCTGGCTTATCCTTGGTCTCAAATTTCACACCTGTCACAATAATTTACATTTTTTTGACAGACTTATTCCTCAAATAGATATCTCTAGTTAGATCATTCCCTCATCAAATTTTAGCAAAAAGGCATGAGAGACAAAGATTTCTACTGTATTACTTTGCATTAGGAGATAATAATTCTCTGATTTTTTACTGAGACTCATTTCTATTAGCCTCATGTCCTTAAAGTAATAGTAGTAGATGCTAAGCATAACTACTAATTAAAAAGGAAAAAATTATAATAAATTTTGAAAGTAAATTTAACTTATTTTAATTATTAGACTAAGTTCATCCACTAGTGAATTAATTAGTACTAACTCTACCCCGACTGCTTCTTTTTTCCTATCTTATTTACCCCAAATCCTGATATCATAATTATCTTAAGAAAACACAAAATTATATTTTTGAAGCCTGCCTTGCTTTTTGGATAGAGTATCAAAAGATACATTAAATATTTTTAATAGCATAAATGTATAATATTGTAAAAAGTTCTATGTAGTATTATGCTTTTAAAGAGGATCTTCAAAATGATGTCAGCATTAGAAAAAAATTCAGGAAATAGAGAATTATTGTCACTCTTTTTTCAGGAGCTCTTCAAAGTTCTATAGCCTAATGTCTGAAGTTATTTTGAAGGAGCTGTTTTAAGTTGTCCAATCCTGCTGATAGGGAGAGGAAGGTATAGAAATTATTCTACCATTCCTAACTGAATCTTCAAGTGGTTTTTGTCATGCCAGCTTGAAATCTACAAGGTAGAAAATTTGATTAATAAGTAATTCTCAATCTGATTGTAGTAGCAAGCATTAGAGTATTAATATGTCTGATGATTATGGCATTAAGTCACTGAAGATTATACCAGAACCAGATGTATATGATAGGTCATTCCTGCCATAAGCTGGCCAGAATAAGTAGCAATTAGGTTATCTTTGCTCTTTGAGGGAGGCCCTGAGTCTTGACATGGTAACTAAAGAGAAGAAAGTGACACAAGCTGCTTAATAAGCAATAACTGTTGTTCATTTGAATTACAATTCTCCTTGGCCCTCCACCTGCTTTCTTACTGGTCTGGCCTACCTTCTTTCAGGCCCAGGCCTGGGAGTGCTTGCAAGATATAGTTGGGGTAAAATGTTGACTTTTGGTGGACACCACGGAGTCACATTGATGCAGATAAGGCACATGGCTGTGGCAGGATTCAGCTCCTTCATCAATTTTCAGGTTAGTATGGCTGAATCAATTATAGTTTGTAGAAGTTCCCTTACTGCAGACTTTATTGGCAGTTGAGACTGGGATCTTTCTTCCTTGAGAGACATGGTGATATGCCACATTACTTTGGAATACAATGTTGGTCATGGTTGCAGTCATAAGGAGAACCAGCTATAGTTATTTGTTTAATTTATTCAAACTTTTATTTTTTCAGACAACCCTTCCTCAGACAGTTTTCTTGGCTCAGGCGACTTAAGAACCTTTGGCGAGAGTGCAAATGGCCAGTGGAGAAATTCCACTCCAGCATCAGGCTCAACTTTACAAAAATCAAGAAACAGCCGAAGTCTTTACCTCGAAACCCGAAAGACCTCAAGGTTGGTATTTTGACTGCTTAGTTCTCAGACCCTTCCTCAGATATAAGAGAAAGTGGCTATAAGATAATTATTACATTGGCATTTTAAGAGAATAACACCATTTTTGGACTTTAACTCATAGAGATATGAACATATCTATTTTAAGTTTTCAAGTTTTATTTTGTGCTGGATTTTGGTGATAGCCAAATCTTATCATTGGAAGAGAGAGTTTTGAGGGGAATTTTGGTGACTTTGAGAATATTGGGCCCCTTCAGGATCAATATGGCTATTACAAATCTTAAAGTGAAAAAGCAGTCAGTCATTGCAATTTGAATAACAAAGCACATTTTGCAGACTCGCACATGAGAACTGAATTAACCAGAGCAGCTCTCTCTCTACCTCATGGCATTAGTCAACTAGACCTAAACTATTAAGCTACTTCTATCTATTAGGAAATAGAGAAGCACAGAGAACTTTATCTTAGTTATGCCAGCTTCATCAGCCCTACCAGTTCCCTCACCAAATTTATAATGGTTATTAAAGGCAGATGAAGTTTAGCTTAGAAGCTTTTCCCTCAGGTGCTTTATTTCTTTTTAAAATAGTATTTATTTTAAAATTTATTTTATTTATTTAAAATTTATTTTATTTATTTAAAATTTATTTATTTTATTTATTTTAAAATAGTATTTATGACTTAAATAGTATTTATGACTTAAAATAGTATTTATGACTTAAAAATGTGGGATCATTTTTCTATTTATATAAGGCTAAGCTTTCTGGTGTTGATGGCTTTTATTTTACCTTATTATTATTAGCACATAGACTCTGTGAACATATATATGTCAGTGCTCCCAGTGATCATCTTCCCCATTTTTAACTTTTTAAAAATTATACAAGAATTCATTAATATACTCATATTGTAAAAATCAAAACATTATCAATAAAGCTAAAGATCCCTTGACCACTACCCATAATCTCAGTTCCCTCTCCTTGATGTGTTTCCTTCCAAACTTTTTCCTATGATTGTTTCTCTCACTCTTTTTCACTAATATGTAGCATGATATGTATGCTATGTATAAAATGAAATGTATGATATTATTTTGCCTTCACTAAAGATTTTTTATTTGCATCATTTAGCAAGTTGCTTTTTCACTCAGTATTGCCATATCGTTATTTTTAAAAATAACATTATTACAGAAACAGTACATGTGCTTTATAAAAAATCAGAAAATACAAATCAGGAAAATAAAAAATAAAAACATCACATTCCCACCAGTTTGAGATTAATTCTGTAATATCTTAGTACATATCGTTCCAGATATTTTTCTTTGCCTTTATACATATATATATTTTCCCAAACTGAGTTCATACTGTACATACTCTTTTGTAATCTGTGTTTTAGTCAATCACCTCTTCTTTTCCAAGTCAGTAAATTTTATCTCATACACTAAATTATATTTAAATTTTCTCAGTTGACCCAAAAGTATCTTTTATAGCTAGTTTGTCCAAACCAGTATCCAATCTAGAATTGCATCTTGGAGTTATTGTCCTTAAGTCTCTTGTAATCTATAATGGCAACCCTTTATTTTTTAATTTTTTTTAGAGACAGGATCTCACTCTGTCACCTCAGTTGGAGTGCAGTGTTGTGATCATAGTTCACTGCAGTCTCAAGCTCCTAGGCTGAAGCAATCCTCCTACTCAGCCTCCCAAGTAATTGGGATTACAGGCGCACCACCACACCTGACTAATTTTTTTTCCCCTAAACTTTTTTTTATGACATGACTTTTTTCTGCATAAAGTTCTACCCTTATAATTGACAAGTTGCTTCCTCATGGTATCATTATTTTGTCAAATTGTGTGTACTGAGTAAAAGATGATGCTGTGTTAGATCACATTAAAAATAATATCTTGTTTTGGTTCTCCTATTATTAGTGGTGCTGGATAGACCTCTGGATTGAGGAGATGACAGTCTGATTGCTAATTATACAGTTAGGTTTTTCCCCTGTGACTAGAATGTAATCCACATGATGTTACTCTGGCATTATATGAATGACTAATTTCACTTCAGCCTTTCACTTAACCATTATTAATATCAATTGATAATATTTACCTGACAATTTTATTAGTGTTAATGAAATAATATTTTTCTAATTTTGTCATTTCTCCTTCACTTATTAATTGGTACTTGATTGCCTTTTCATTAGTTGGGGCCATTTGGTTACCCTGGAATACATTTCGTGTAGGAAAGGCAGGATAAATTATTAGATTTTTCTTTTTGGTTACCAGTTTTCAAAGTAAGGCTTTTTTAAAAAAACAGATGCTTCACTTCATGTGGTTCAAATAATTTTTTTCTGTTCTTTTTTGGTGTCATTATGGATTCAATGTTTCAATTCACTATATTCATTCTTTTAATACTCAGATTCTTGAAACTTTAGCCAGTGGAAGCCCTTTCATGGGTCTGTCTGACCCAACCTTGTTAATTTTTGGTAACAATCTTGCTTTCTGACATTGCAAGATATCCTTCTACTATTTCTTTAGAAGAATAGTTGTTTATATTAAAAGCATGCACACACACACTCTGGGAAGCACAAGTACAAAAGATATCGTGGAGAATTCATTATATCTTTACCAATTATACTGCCCTTGCCATCTTTTCTTAGCTTCATCCACTCATCTCGAGAAAATAAGCCTATTCCTGAAATTCCGAGTCCTTGCTCGTTTCCCCACTTTAATGCACATGGAAACCATTAGAATGTGAAGAGTTGAGAGAGTATATATGCTTTTTGATATTCTTTAGATCTATTCTGATTTTATTTGGATCCAGACCACATGTAATGATTTAAAGAGTTGATTTCATTGAATTCGGCTTAGTCAGCTATGTACTTCTAGTCTGGGTCCTCACCAAAAAAAAAAAAAAAAAGGAAAATTTATTATGCTAAGATTAAGTACCTCAAATTTTGCTGGGAATGATTATGGACAAAAAACACATAGAAAAAACTTGAAATTATTAAGCTTTAAAGAGAAGAATGAGTTTTGAGTCCACAATATTCTTCATGCCAAATTTTCCCATTAGATAAGGTATAAATAATATAAAGAAACAAAAAAATTTTTCAGAGGAAAGAAAAAGCTAAAAGCAGAATTCACAGTTATGCAGCCTAGTAGAAAGCCTTCTAGCTGTTTTTTATATAATAGATGAGAGCCCTCTGTTGGTCTTTCAGGAAATTTTAAAATTCAGTTTCAAAGCTTAGTAGAGAGGCTTCAGCTGTATTCATTTTTACATATTTATCTTAAGCTAATTTTCTCCAGTGGGCTTGGGGTAAGGGGCTGCAAGGAGTAATAGAAAATGTATATATTTGGTAGCATACCTGGAACCCAGATTTTCTGAAGAAGTCTAGTCTCATATGCTTTCCTATAATACCACATAGCTATATGGTGCCTAACCAAAGGGAATTCTAGATTGTGGATGCAAGAAATAACAATTTAAGTGTTTGATAATTATGTAGTTTGACAATGTAAGACCTTTTAATTGGCAGAACCTGATGCAGCAACCCCATATATCATTTCTTGTGTATTTCCTTCAAATGATATATCTGTCTATCATTATACCAGTTAAATTTTTTTGTTTGTTTTTATTATTTCTAGAAAGCAAAAATAGTCACTAGATTATGTTTATCTTAACTTTTCTTTCTTACAAACTCTTTTTTTTAGTGGATTATCAAACAGCTTCACGGGAAAGTCGAACCATCACTGCCATGCATCTGCATATGAAAAATCTTTTCCTATTAAGCCTATTCCAAGTCCATCTTGGAGTGGTTCATGTCGTCGAAGCCTTTTGAGCCCCAAGAAAACTCAGAGGCGACATGTTAGTACAGCAGAAGAGGTAAGGAAAACATGCAACAAAAGCTACTAAAAGGTAGCATCTTTTTCTGCATTGAGCCATTCACTCCCTCTGATTTAGATGTTTATTAACCATTCTATTTAATACTTCCTGTGCCTTTTCTTTCTGAATTACTCTTTTTGAATGCTATCATCTATTTTAAAGGAATTGAAGAAGTACTTTAGCAGGACTTCAATATTTTTCTTATTGTCTTCTATTCCTATTGGATGGCTGACTTTACTTAATTTTCAGTACTGCTTGAATAGATTCTCATATGCTAAACTATCTCTCTTCTCTCTTTTTTAGACCCTTCCTAAACTCTTGTTTCCTGTGGGAAAACTTGTTAGCCTTGCTAAACAGTTTTTGTTTTGATAAAATTTGATAAACTACCTGCCCTTCTCACTAAGAACAATTTTTGCTCAATAATAAGAGAAAAATAAAGAAGCTAGTTGAACAATTTACATTCTTTCATTATGAGTAAGATCTTCTTTGAGGTCATAGACTTTCCTGAAAATAAAGAAGCTCTATTGACACTTGGACTGTTATATTTATTCAGTAAACCTAAAGGAAAAAGTCAATTCCATGAATATAACATAGCATATAATTTGCACAATAGGAAGTATGCTTATGTCTGTTAAATTACATATTTAATATGTATCTAATCAGCTTTGGATTGGTTGCAGTGGAGATACAAATTAATAATAATTATGACCTTAAATTTATATAGCATTAGAGTTTCCAGTGTACTTTCTACATGCATTGTGTTTAATCCTTTTAATCCAGTAAAATAGGTAGAGATGAGGTGATATCCATATAAGTAAAGGTCATAAGTCACAACTAATAAATGGCAGGCCTAGAACCCAGATCTTCTAAGGAGGTTTAGTCTGGTATGCTTTCTGTTATACAACACAGCAGTGTGGTTCCTGCCCAAAGGAACCACATGCTTACTGAGCACGGAGTCAAGAATATGGCATTATATGCTAAATAATTTCATAATTTGATAATCAAAGATCTCTTAGGTGGCAAAACTTAATATTTGTGATGTGGTTAGTAAAAATGCTGTGTGTATTTTTGGTTTTCAGTTTGTATTGAATTTAAAATTTTCAGTGGGAGGGTGGGAGAACTCTAGTATATCATTTAGCAAGGCAAAAGGTAGATAAGAAACTGCCAACATTTGCCTTTGGTAATAGGAGTTGGGCAACAGGGATGAAAGGGAGATTTATTTTTTGTTATACTTTTCGTACTATTAAATTTTGTATGATGTATATATGAGCTATTACATGCATAAATGCTTTTTTTTATTGTTGGAGTTGTGGGGCTTGTGATTATATTGGAGTCTAGATAGCCTAAGGAATACAGAAATATTTTGTGGTGAAGCAAACAGCAGCAGCATGACAGCTGGGTACAAGGCTCCTAACCCTTCCCTGCTCCATGTGACTACTGCTAGGATCACCAGGATCCTTTAATCTGTGTTCATTGTAAGCTTGCCATTCACCCACCAGCCCTTTGGACCACCTAGCCCCATTTCTTTTCACCTCTACTGCCACCTCCACTTGAGTTGCTTGGGCAATTTTACCCTTCTAAACGACATTCCAGGCCACAGGCTGTGTCAGTGGAGGACATGAAGTGGGAGTTCCCCTTCCTACTTTATTGCAAAGAAGATGTCGAGGATTGCATCTATTCTATGAAACAAGAGATACAGGAAACTTTGCCTTAGTTTTTAGTTGTATATTCTCCTGCTTTGAAAAGGAAGCCACCTGTACTACAGAATAACCCAATTAATATAAGACAAAATATTGGACTGAACTTTATTGTTAAACTTTCAACAAAGCATTTAGATATTTAATTTTGGATATTTCAGGTAATCCATATATAATACTTTTTTTATTCTGGAACTAAATTTATTGATGGGAACTTACAAACTGGAGGAAAAGTTATTTTCCATGGAAATGTTGGGATCCTCAAGCGACTTGCATTTACTTATGTTAAAGAAAGAAGATTATTAATCTTAATGCTGGATTTATACATCAACTTCAGGAATAGGAAGCCATCTACAAAATTAACAGTTAAGATTATGCTACCACTTCACTTTTTAGTCTTACAATAGACATTTGATAGCAATGCATGAAGAAGAATTTGGAAATATGCAAGTATTGGCTGTGCAAAATGGTTGATTCAAAGGGCAACATTAATGAGCTATGCTATCCAGTAGGGTAACCATTATCCACATTAGCCACTGTTTAAATTAATTCAAATAAAATTAAATTAAAAATTTAGTTTCTCAGTCACACTAGCCACATTTAAAGTACTCATTAGCCACATGTGGCTAGTGGCTGTCATATTGGACAGCACAGATATAGAACATTTACATTATTACAGAATTTCTGTTAGTGCTGTTATAGAGGATTTAAGTTTCTGTTTTGAAAAGAGAAAATGCTACTGACGATAAAAATGTAAACTGTAAAAACACAGGTAGTTCGTTTTCAGTTACGTGTTGTTTCCAGACATACTTCTCTGCAGTTTACTAAGCAACATTTTAAGGTGTCGCACTTCACAATAGATGACAGCGACGGTTTTATTTTTTTTTAATGCTTTACAATTTTGTGATAAACCAAGCTTTTTGGACTTAACAGAAAATTGTTGAATTTTTCATACTTACAATTTATATGGTATAAAGCTATTACTTTAAACAAAATGAAAATTAGGGGGATTGTGTATAAAGTTACTTCTAAAAGTTCATTTTGTGTTCTTTGTTAACTTTTTATAATTTTACAGTTGTTTTAAGATGGAGCCTCTTACAAAAACTTCACCTAATTGGAGGAATCTGTCACTTTTTCTTAATAGAGTTCAGTACTTTAATTACCCTTATACTTTTTAAAACTTTCCTTTGTCTTTTATTAGGCTTTAAAATGTAACATTAGCCAACTTCTTTAACTGTAACATATTATCAATTTCTTCCTTTCCTCTTGATTTCCTAATATTCAGTAAAAAACTTAATAAGTAATGTACAGAGGAAGATATTTTCTTTTACTTTATAGTACCATATGCTCCAACAAAAGATTGTGTTTGAAATTTCGAGTAACTTTCATTTTTGGTAAAGCCAAATGTTATATGTTCTTTTGGGAAAGAAAGAGGTGAAGTTGTCACTGTTTGCTAATGATATGATCTTATATATAGAAAACCCTACAGACTCCACCAAAGAACTGTTAGAACTAATAAATGAGTACAGTAAAGTTTCAAGATACAAAATCAACACACAAAAATCAGTAGCGTTTCTATGCACTAACATTGAACTATCTGAAAAAGAAGTCAAGAGAATGATCCCATTTATAGTAGCTTACAAAAAGATAAAATATTTAGGAATAAATTTAACCAAGGAGATAAAAGACCTGTACACTGAAAACTATAAAACATTGATAAAAGAAATTGAAACATACACAAATGGAAAGCTGTCCTGTGTTTATGGACTGGAAGAATTAATATTATTAAAATGTCCATACTATCCTAAGCAATCTACAGATTCAATGCAATCCCTATCAAAATTTCAATGTCATTTTTTCATAAAAATAGAAAAACAATCCTAAAATTCATGTAGAATCATAGAAAACCCTGACTAGTTAAGCTAATCATGAGCGAAAAGCACAAAGCTGGAAGTATCACACTACCTTATTTCAAACTATACTGTAAAGCTATAGTATTTAAAACAGCATAGTATTGGCAAAAAAATAAGATACATTGACCAATGGAACAAAATAGAGAACCCAGAAATGAACTCATGCATGTATGGTCAACTGATTTTTGACAAAGGTACCATGAATACTCAAAGGGAAAAGGACAGTCTCTTTAATAAATGGTGTTAGGAAAATTGGATTTCCATATGCAGAGGGACATTGGATCCTTATCTCACACCATATACAAAAATCTACTAAGTGGATTAGAAAAACTTAAATGTAAGATGAAAAACTCTAAAACTACTAGAAGAAAATGGGAAAAACTGTACAACATTGGTCTGGGCAATGATTTTTTGGATTTGAACCCAAAAGCACAGGCAAAAAAAAGAAAACAAAACAAAAAAGTAAGCTGAGCATTGTGGCACCTGTGTGTAGTCCCAGCTATTTGGGAGGCTGAGGCAAGAGGATTGCTTGAGCCCAGGAGTTTGAGCTATGATGATGCCACTGCTCTGCAGCCTGGTGACAGAGCAAGACCCTGTTTAAAAAAAAATAGACAAATGGGATTACTAAAAACTTCTTCTGTACAGCAAAGGAAACAGTGTACAGAGACAACCTATGGTTTGGGAGAAAATATTCACAAGCCATACATTCTATAAGGGGTTAAGATCCAATATTATGGCCAGGCGTGGTGGCTTATGCCTGTAATCCTAGCACTCTGGGGGGCCGAGGCGGAAGGATTGCTGGAGGTCAGGAGTTCGAAACCAGCCTGAGCAAGAGCAAGACCCCGTCTCTACTATAAATAGAGATAAATTAATTGGCCAACTAATATATATAGAAAAAATTAGTCGAGCGTGGTGGTGCATGCCTGTAGTCCTAGCTACTTGGGAGGCTGAGGCAGTAGGATTGCCTGAGCCCAGGAGTTTGAGGTTGCTCTGAGCTAGGCTGACACCACAGCACTCATTCTAACCTGGGTAACAAAGCAAGACTCTGTCTCAAAAAAAAAAAAAAAAAGATCCAATATTATAAGGAGCTCAAACAACTCAATAGGAAGAAAACAAAAACCCAGTTGAAAATGGGCGGGGACCTGAATAGACATTTCTCAAAAGAAGACATACAAATGCTTAACACATATATGAAAAAATACTCATTGCTGATCATTAGAGAAATGCAAATTAAGTCATCATAAGATATCATCTCATACCTATCAGAATGGCTTTTATCAAAAAGATGAAAGATAACTAACATTGGTGAGGATGTGGAGAAAAGAGAACTATTATGTGCTGCTGGTGGGAATGTAAATTAGTACAGCCATTATGGAGAACAGTATGGAAATTCCTCAAAAAATTTAAAATTACCATATGATTCAGCAATCCCACTTCTGGATATTTTTTATTTTATTTTTTTGAGACAGAGTCTCACTTTGTTGTCCAGGCTAGAGTGAGTGCCATGGCGTCAGCCTAGCTCCCAGCAACCTCAAGCTGCTGGGCTCAAGCGATCCTCCTGCCTCAGCCTTCTGAGTAGCTGGGAGTACAGGCATGTACCACCATGCCTGGCTAATTTTTCCTATATATATTAGTTGGCCAATTAATTTCTTTCTATTTATAGTAGAGATGGGATCTCGCTCTTGCTCAGGCTGCTGTTGAACTCCTGACCTCAAGCAATCCTCCCGCCTCGGCCTCCCAAAGAGCTAGGATTACAGGCGTGAGCCACTGCGCCCGGCTCCACTTCTGGATATTTACCTAAAAGATTTGTAATCAGTTTGTCAAAGAGATGTCTGTACCCCCATGTTCATTGAAGTGCTGTTCCCAATAGCCAAGTTATGACATCAACTTAAGTGTCCGTCAACAGATGAATGGATAAAGAAAATGTGGAATAGATATACAATAGAATACTATTCAACCTTTAAAAGAAGGAAATTCTGTCATTTGGAACAACATGGATGGAGTTGAAGAGTATTATGCTAAATGAAATAAGTCAGGTACAGAAAGACAAATATTGCATGTTCTCATTTATATATGAAATCTAAAATAATCAGACTCATAGAAGCAGAAAGTAGAACGGTGGTTACAAAGTCTGGAGTGGCGGAATGGGAAGATGATGATGAAAAAGAAAAAATCTCAAACAGGTGGAATATGGGATTTTCCCCCCCTCGCACAGGATGATAAATATAGTTAGTAGAGTATTGTACATTTTTAAGTTGCTAGGACAATAAATTTCAAATGTTCTCATCGTACAAAATGTTAAATATTTGACATGAGTGTATTAACTAGCTTGATTTCATTATTCCACATTGTATTCATAAATTATATCACTTTATACCCCATACATTTATACAATTATAAATTGTCCATTTATAATTTTGAAAAAGTTACCTAAACCATTTTTTGTCTGAAATAGTTTTAAATGGAATATAACATACCCAATGTTTTTTGTTTTTAATGAAACTCAAAAAAGAAAAGTACTTCCCATTATTAAAAAAAAAAAACCGAAACCTTGTGATCTCCAACTTAGCCTGTATATCAGTGAAAAGTTCTTATATGTACCTTTTAAAAACATAAATTAGTTTAAACTGAAAATACGAGGCTTAAAAAGATCTCAGAAAATTAGTTGAAATGTGGATAACTTATTCCTGTTAGTTTTATGTTGTCTAATGATCGTGTGAGGTGGTTTGGGCTCCGAAGCTTTTCTTTGAAAATCTATTGGGGAAAATTATTCATGGGGGACTTTTGGATAGTAAATTAGCTTTTCAGTTCTTTGCAATGCATTCATCTATATTTTTCATAGTTTGCATTAGCAAAATCATTTTATGGCTCCTTGGTTCTTGTCTTATTTGTAAGTATAAAAGTTTATTCTAAGAAAACATTTTGCTGTGTGATGTGACAGAGGAAAGTGTTTTTAATGTGTTGTGGTTGATGTTTTTAGTAAAGCACAAAGACTCTTTTTTTTTTTTTTTTTTTTTTGAGACAGAGTCTCACTTTGTTGCCCAGGCTAGAGTGAGTGCCTTGGCATCAGCCTAGCTCACAGCAACCTCAAACTCCTGGGCTCAAGCAATCCTGCTGCCTTAGCCTCCCAAGTAGCTGGGACTACAGGCATGCACCACCATGCCCGGCTAATTTTTTCTATATATTTTTAGTTGGCCAATTAATTTCTTTCTATTTTTTTTTTTTTTTTGAGACAGAGTCTCGCTTTGTTGTCCAGGCTAGAGTGAGTGCCGTGGCGTCAGCCTAGCTCACAGCAACCTCAAACTCCTGGGCTCCAGTGATCCTTCTGCCTCAGCCTCCCGAGTAGCTGGGACTACAGGCATGCGCCACCACGCCCGGCTAATTTTTTATATATATATCAGTTGGCCAATTAATTTCTTTCTATTTATAGTAGAGACGGGGTCTCGCTCTTGCTCAGGCTGGTTTCGAACTCCTGACCTTGAGCAATCCGCCCGCCTCGGCCTCCCAAGAGCTAGGATTACAGGCGTGAGCCACAGCGCCCGGCCTTCTTTCTATTTTTTAGTGGAGACCGGGGTCTCACTCTTGCTCAGGCTGGTTTTGAACTCCTGACCTTGAGCAGTCCTCCTGCCTCAGCCTCCCAGAGTGCTAGCATTACAGGCGTGAGCCACCACACCGGGCCCAAAGACTCTTACTGTCTCACTTTTCTCAGTGTTCTCTTGAGGTCTTTATATGATGGGAATGCTTTTTTTATTTTTTAAACATTCCATTAGTACAAAGAGGTACTATGCAAAGTAACCTCTCATATCAGTTTATCTGCTTTACTTTCCTCTCTATAATGTAAAAATATAGTCAAAACTTTTTTTAAATCCAGTTGGGTGGGACAGTAAAAATGAAGTAAAATGTTTGTTAATTAAGAGCTAATTTCTGTGACCGAGGTGTTCTGATTTCTCTTTCCTTCTGTCATCTTTCCCCCCTGAAAACCACGTATTACTTCTATCATATTGTGATGAGGTCATTTGGTGTAGTGGAAAAGTGGAGTCAAGATTTACATTGGATTGTATGCAGAAATTCTGGTCAGTAAAGTGCCATATAACATATGGCTTTTTGTGTGTAGATCACTGTGGAGTTGGTCGACAAATCTCTTACAATCCAATAATCTGTAATGACACTTCATTCTGCTATCTATTTAATCTTCATAATGGCAATTTTAGATTTTAATAAAGAGACATTTATTTTAATTTTGGTTTTTAAATTTATTTCTCAAGTACTCATATCTTCTCCAGTAGGATAGACAATAAATACCAGTTTGGTTATTGATAGTAGTTTATACCTGGTAATTGTCTTTTTCTAACCATTATTTCTGCGCTATCACTGAAGTGCCTGCCCAATACTGTGGATAGTCTCTTTCACAAGTACTAGAAAAGGAGCCCACCATCATCTTGAGTACAATATTAATGTCTGAGGGAGAAAATAACGGGGGTTATTTTTTTTTCACACAGCCCATTGCAAGTTTGTTTTTCTTTTGAGTCCATTCTTCTACCTAATGCTCAACTAGTTCTTCCTTGTCTCTTATCACTCAATTTATTTAAGTTTAAGGATTGCTCTTTCTCATGGAGAATTGTCATTCCTCACAGTTCAGGTGTATTGTAGTAGATCAGTAACATTATACTGACAATGTAAGTATAATTTACTATGTAGCAAAAAAAAGGCTCAAGAAGAAAAAATGTAGTGTCTGTTTACCTTTGTATAGTTAATTACTTAATTCACTTTGCTTTTAACAGACATTTGTAGTTGAATAAAATGCTTATGCACATATTGAAATGTAGCAAGATGCTGCTATCTTTGATACAATGTTTAAAATTCTTTTGTGAAGATTGGTGGTTTAAATAGTATATAGATAAAAAAAATTACTGGGACATATTACTTAGTGAACACAGCCCATTGCGTCAGGGGATCTGTATAGAGTAGATGTTTTGCCAGGGTTTCAAGTTCTGATGTTATCTGGTTCACTGCTAAGTGACCTCATTTCTTCCTATTCTCATTCACATAGACCTTACTGTTTTTTGAACACATTAAGCGTATTCTTGTCTAAGGGCTTTGCATTTGTTATTCGTCTATCTGGAATACTATTTTTATATATTTCTATCACTTACTTCCTCCCTTGGTTTAGGTTTCTGCTGAAATAGTACCTTTTTAGAGAAATCTTACCTGTTCGTGCTCTTCCCCCTCCATCACTTTCTATTCCCTTACCCTTTAATTTTGTTCATACTTCCTGACTAATTTTTTGTTTGTCTGTTCCTTTTACTGTAATATAAACTCCACAAGTACAGGAACTTTATTTTATTCAGTGCAGTATCTTTAGTGATTGGAGCATAGCAGGTGTTCAAGGCAAGGAATGAATGTTATGGAGTATGTGATTTTCCCTAAATTTAGTATTGGGACTTACAGGGGAAAAAGTTGGAGATGAAAATCATCTCTGAAAAATACTTGCACTTAGCCAGAATAGGAAACTGTTGGCAAGATATTTCACTCTAACCGATCTTGACTGTTCTGGTTGCTCCCTTGTGATTTTCTATCAGGAATCAGGGAATTTGTTGGAATACTAATTTAGAGGTCCTCAAATGTTTTATTTCTGGGACTCTTTACCATTTCACTCAAAAGTGATTGCTTACTGGCCTTCTGGTTTCATATCTTATAGTTTCTTTGCACTATTATATACATATAGTTTCCAAAATGCTATCTGGTATTTACTCAGCTCCTCTTATACACACTTGATAATTTTCTAGAATATCCTTAATGTACTGTAATTCTTAATTATCTTCAGGACTCTGCCTGAGCTTTGGACAGAGCTTCTGGAATCCCGTCTAGATGCTACTTTGAGAAACACATGCCTCATTGGTTATGTTTAATTTTTTTTTCCTCTTACAGACAGTTCAAGAAGAAGAGAGAGAGATTTACAGACAGCTGCTACAGATGGTCACAGGGAAACAGTTTTCTGTAGCCAAACCTACCACACATTTTCCTTTACACCTGTAAGTCACAGGCACATATTTCAGATGAATTTAATTCTACAATTTGTTATTTGATATTGAAACTATATTCTTCTCTTGCTAGGTCTCGATGTCTTAGTTCCAGTAAGAATACTTTGAACGACTCATTGTTTAAAAATGGAAATTCTTGTGCATCTCAAATCATTGGCTCTGATACTTCATCATCTGGATCTGCCAGCATTTTAACTCCCCAGGAACAGCTGTCCCACAGTGTATACTCCCCATCATCTTATGCCCCAGATGTTGTTGCATTTGGATCCAAAGATTCTGATCTTCTCCATCAATCCCACTATCACCACTCTCTTCCACATCAGCCAGATAACTTATCAGCTTCAAATACACAATCCGAAGGTAAAAATGGTATTGTTTAACTATATTTTTAATCCTAATAGCCTGTTGTTTATTGGCTCCATTACAGGTAACATCATAATATACATATAAATTAACATATATGAGTTGAACATCCAAATGCAAAATCCAAAATGGTCCAAAATCTGAAACGTTTTGAGTGCCAACATGATGTTCTGTGGAAATGCTCATTGGAGGATTTCGGATTTGGAATTTTTGGATTTGGGATGCTCAGCTAATGTAATGCAAATATTCCAAAATCTGAAAAAAATTGAAATTTTAAACACTTCTGGTCCCAACCACTTCACATGAGGCATACCCAATTGTAAGATACTTTAAATACATGTAATCAGTTAATCATGCCATGAGTAAACTAACCCTACAAATAAGATACTCTTTTTCATCTATCAAGATGCAAATGATTTGATATAATATTTTATTTAAACAATTAACTTCCTGAATAGAGTCTGTTATTCAACCTAATTGCTTCATCTCTTTCTCGTTTCTGTTACTTTACAGTGATAATTAAGAACTCTGAAATTCTAGGCATTTCGAAATATCAAATAAGTTTTAAAGTATATATACTTAATTCCCATGTAATACTAAACTTATATAGTAGGTTTATGCACTTTAGAATGTCAGCAAGTTTTTCTTTTTATTTCATGGAAATATGAAAGTACAAACATTTTGGTTACATTCTATATCTTTGCCTCTCCCTAGCAAGTGTTAGAGGTATACCTTTCCCCTCCACAATGCTCACTACATCCCTCAGATGTGGGTCTACCTCCCCAACCCCTGAATCCCTGGTGAAGACCACCACCATTTGAGCACCATAATGTTAATCAGTCAGTACCAATTTGATGGTGAGTACATGTGGAGCCCATTTTTCTGATCTTGTGTCACCTCACTTTGGATAATGGGCTTAAGCTTAATCCAGGATAATATAAGCGGTGGTAGCTCGCTGTCAATTCTTAGAATTGAGTAATGTCTGCAAGTTTTGGAAACAAAAGGAGTTTTCCACCTAACTTTCAGCTAAAATATTCAGTCTCTTAGCATTCCAGTTAATTAAGATTTTGCTATGATAGATTTTGTTTCTTAGTTTATCCCTTCTTTAGGTATATATTATATGTGTATTTATGGCATGTACTTAGGTATGTAACTTAAGTGGTTAGATATTAGGAAATATTTGATAGATGGAGCATCAGTCTTTAAGGCTCTACCCTCTTTCCTCAAGTCATTTGATTTTTTTTTTTAATCTACTCATCATTTTCTGAAAATTCTCACTTGGGGATTAAAAGTTTTGGTGGCAGGCCGAGCAGGTGGCTCACGCCTGTAATCCTAGCACTCTGGGAGGCCGAGGTGGGTGGATTGCTCGAGGTCTGGAGTTCAAAACCAGCCTGAGCAAGAGCAAGACCCCGTCTCTACTATAAATAGAAAGAAATTAATTGGCCAACTAATATATATAGAAAAAATTAGCTAGGCATGGTGGCGCATGCCTGTAATCCCAGCTACTTGGGAGGCTGAGGCAGTAGGATTGCTTGAGCCCAGGAGTTTGAGGTTGCTGTGAGCTAGGCTGATGCCATGGCACTCACTCTAGCCTGGGCAACAAAGTGAGACTCTTGTCTCAAAAAAAAGTTTTGGTGGCATCATTATATAGCTACATATATTCATGAATATATATCAATGTATTACAATTTTTAGGTGATTTACTGAGAACTGTCATTTTTTAAAAAAAGTAAAAAGAGCCCTTTAACCTAAGAAAAATACATTGTGTGGTAGATATTAAATACAACTAAACAAGAAAATATGGTACATTGCACTATTTAATTACTTGTGTCATTTAATAAGTACTCTAATCATAGCACTTCAGAAGGACATGATTCTTGCCTTTCAAGAGTACTCAACAGAGAAAATAAATGATAGAATAAAAAAAAAACTTGTACTTTTTAGACTCCTATAGTTCTATTTCTCTCCCTGTCCTCCTCTTCTCTGCCTTAACCGTTCCCTTCTTCTATTCCCCTTCCTACTCTTCTTTTTCCCCTGCTCCCTCCCTTTCCTCCTCTCAGTTAATTCAGTCTCACTACAGATCATGAACTACCATAGTCTCCCCCTTATCCCTGGTGGATGTGTTCTGAGACCCCCCAGTGAGTGCCTGCAACCATGGATAGTACACTATATACATAACACACACTATGTTTTTTCTACACATGCATACCTATGATAAAGTTTAATTTATAAATTAGGCACAGTAAGAGATTAACAACAATAATAACTAATAATAAAATAGAACAATTATAACAATATACTATAATAAAGGTTTTTTTCCCTTATTAAGTGGAGAATTTTCTCCTTTGCACTTAAAGGAAGTATGTTTTACGGCTTCTCTTTGGCATATCTCAGTTGCCAGCATCTACTTTTGCACTTCAAGGGTATTATTAAATAAAATAAGGTTTACTTGAACACAAGTATTCCTGTATTGAGACAGTTGATCTGGTAACCAAGATGACTATTCAGTGACTAATGGGCAGGTGTTACATGCAGTGTCGATACTCTGTACAAAGGGATGATTCATGCCTGGGATAGAGCTGGACAGTGTGAGATTTTTATCACACTACTCAGAATGATGCACAGTTTAAAACTAATTGTTTCTTTCTGGAATTTTCCATGTAATATTTTTGGACCATAGCTGACCATGAGTAACTGAAACTGCAGAGAGCAAAAGCCCACCGATAAAGGGGGACTACTGTAAAGGCTTTTAAGAAATCCTGGCATGTCTTGCTCCCCTGAAACAGAAAGAAGCATCACAGAAGTAGATGCTGAAGGGCAAATATGCTTGTGTTTCCGAGCAACTTTGTGAAGCAAGCTATTTCCTAAGACCTATTTGTGGTCTTGGTGAAAATGGACTTGCCTCTCTCTCTTCCATCTTACCTTTGTCCTTATGCTGTGTTATTTTTGTGGAAATAGAATATAACAAAATATAGGAACATAAGCTAAGACATCTAGAAAGTATAACTGTGTGGCATTTTGTTAATAATGAAATGTTCTGTGTTTCTTCATTTAGGGTCAGATTCTGTGATTTTACTGAAAGTGAAAGAGTCCCAGACTCCAACTCCCAGGTAAACTTTGGAAAAAAGTCATTCTTAACATTTTATTTTCCCTTTCTTTAGTCACAATTTCTTCACTAAAAGTTACATATTACAAAAGTAAAACTACCACAATTCAAACATCTCTCATGTATTATTTGAATTATTTCAGTGACTTTCTAGTTGTTGTTCTTTCCTTCAGCCTCCATTTTGTTCTTCATTCCATCTTCCACCATACTATGTTTTCTAATCCATTCTTCGGCTTTGTTCTTTAGTCTCTCCTCCATGCTGCAATCAAGTGATCTTTCGAAAATTCATATCTGATCATTCTTTAAAGGAGTTTTATGATCATTTATTAAACTCTTTCAAGAGTGGCTTATCAGGCATAGAATTAAGCTCAGGCTCCTTAGTACGGTATACAAAGCACTTCCTTCATAAGCCTCGCTTTCTATTGTACATTCTTTCTCCTTTAGCAATCATTTGTTGAGAGGCTGCTGTGTACCAGATACTAAGTATATACATTGGGGAAAACAGCAGTGAACAAGATAGTCCTTGTTCTCAAGGAGCTTGCATTCTAGTTGAGGGGAAATGTGGAGGACAGATAGTGAACAATAAGCGAATAAACATACGCATGGTGGTGTTAAGTACTGTGAAGAAAACTGAAGTAGGATAATATATAGACGGGGGTTGGGAGGACACTATTTATCTAGGGTGGTCAGTGCAAGCCTCTAATAAAGTGACATTTGAGTATAGACATGATGGAGGTGAGAGAGGGAGCCATATGGAAATATGGGACTCTTCTGTATATTTTTGTATGCTGTACTATTTTCAGTTTGTAAATGTGATATGCATTTTCTTGCCTTCAAATTCACTGTTCCTTCTGCCTAGAATTTCCTCCCTACCTCAACTTGTCTGTCATTAGTCTCTTTCTTTTTCTTTTAAGTCTCAATTCAAATATGATCTTCTGGTCTCAAATTCCTGGGCTCCAGCAATCCTCCCACCTTGGCCTCTCACAGTGCTAGGGCTACAGATGTGAGCCACTGTGCTTGGTCAAATCTGATCTTCTATGCAAAACTTCTCTGTGAGGCATCAAATACTTCTTCCTCTAGACTCCAATAGGTTACTAAAGGTTACTGTAATTGCTGTGTCTTTGCCTTATATGGCCTTGGCAATTCAATTGCTAGGATGATGATAATATCAGTTTCCTTTGAGAAAATTAGGGATAATGAAATGTGCTTTCTCATCTCAGTTCCCCTACTTCTTTGCAGCTCTCCTATAGTTCCAAGCTTTAGGTATTTCTTAAAACTTTCTATTTGTTAAGTCTGTCAGGGAGATGTCACAGTTTGGATTCTTTATTTGTTATGTTTATTTGGAGTCAGACCTGGCTTCTGATCTTGGCTTTTCCAGGAATCATGTAACTTTGGACCAGTTACTCTTCTGAATCTCAAGTTTCCTTATCAATAAAATGCCAGTATTAATACATTCTTTTGAATTGTGAAGATTAACTTGCAGATAAAGCACTTATTTTTATAAATTTTTCACCTGAAGCACTCAAAGTACGTATTCTTTTTTGGGAAGAAGTCGATCTCAGGTTAAGAGGGATCTCATTCTTTCAATGGTTCTTTACTAAGTCTGCCTTTCCTTTACAGAGAATTTCTCCTAAATGATGAGTGAAGAATGAGATGGAAGGGGAAATGGTGTGTTGGGTTAGGCTATTGGAGTGGTGCTGTTTGTTGATGTTGGCACCTACTCTGCCAAGGCTCTATTCTTAATTTTCTACCACTGCCTGTCCGTTAAGTTCTAGTAATGAAGATCTGCCCTGATTTCCCAGAATATGCCATGCTGTTTCATACCTCTGTGCCTTCATATATTCTGATCCCTCTGCCTAGAATTCTCTTTCTCTCCTTGTCCACTTGTTTGTTTTGCTTTTCAAAATTTAATGAGGTATTATTTTTTTCTCAGAGTGTTTCTCTGACTTCTCCAGATAATATTAGTTTTTCCCTGCATACCTCTACCTTGTTTGTTACTAATACCTTTCCACTTATTACCCAGTGCTGATCAAAGTGCCTAGCATGCAATGAGTGCTTAGTAAATGAATCTGTGCTAAATAAATGAATTTTCTACAGAATTCTCTTTTGAGTAGCCCAAGTACTCATTTTTTTTCCCTTTGTTTAATGCTTTGGTCTATTGAAAGATATTTTAACTCTAGTAGAAAGAATATAGTCTTTGGAATTAGATAGATAAGATTTCTAATCCTGGCTCTTCCAAGAGAAATTATCCTTCTGAAACTCATTTTCCTTTTCTGTACAGTATGAGTAGTAATTCCTTGTTAGATACTATAGTGAGGTTTAAATAATATGGGGATTATCATGAGGCTTAACTAATGTAAAACACTGAGTAGAGTTTTACATGTAGAGCACTAAGTAGGTGCTCAAAAAATAGTTGTAGTTATTGTTACTGTATACCTCAATTATATGAGAAATAGTATATAATCTCTTTGGAAAAGCAGATTTCCCCTGTTTTGCTTTCCTGAGCCAGTGAATACCTTAGTTCATTGAAGAAAAGTGCTTACCCCTACATTGCATATTTATTCAACAAATACTGAGTGCCTTCTATGTGCTAGGCACTATTCTGGTTGCAGAGGATAGAGTAGTGTACAAAAAACCCCAAATATTCCTATCCTCATTAAGTTTATATCTTAATAAGAGAAATAGATTTGAATAGCATGATCCATTATTATGACATTCTTGTCACATCTTTATAGTGTATAATAAGTATGTTCTCATGTTTATTTGCTTTTAGTATCACAAACTAAATTGCCTTTCACAGTGTTACCACTATTTCTGTGGTTTTCTGTCTTCATTGTTATGTTCGTTGTTTACTGTCATAGGCCCTCTTTAACCTCAGTGACAAGGGGAGGCAATAGAACAGCGTTTTCATTGCTAAATCCCAAACTAAGGATGATTGGGAAAACTAATCTTTAAAGTTAGGCTAAGGAGCAAGAGATACCTTCTGAGCCTTTTTCATGCCCTCACTAGGACATATTGTAGAGATTTAAGAACTGAAAAGGACTCTACTCACTGTATTTTACAAATCCAGAAGCTAGGGCCCATAGAAGTGAAGTGAGTTGGTCAAAATCATAAAGTTAATCAGTGACACCTCCAGGACATTCAAGTCTCTTAACTCCCAATTTGATGCTCTGTGTACCTGTTCTGTATATTTAAAAGTTTTCTTTGGAAAAATGTTCATTCTTATTCCATTTGTTTCTGTGATAGATCCCTTAGTTAGGGATTTATAAGGACATAAGGAAGTTTGAGAAAAAACAAGAAGCCCTAGAACAAATAACTACTTACGAATCTGCTAAACATTATTCACTTGGGTTGTGTCTGCAAGAGCCACATGGATTAGAATTGGCCTCTCATCTTTAGAGTAGAGTTGTGTTACTGATTCTTTGCTTTGGCTTATTGGCTTGTTAGCTATTTGATGTGTATTATTTTGGGGGTGGGGATTTTTGGTAAATCTGTCAGTCTGAACCATTTGGGAGGAGTAATGTTCCAGCTTAATATACTATCTTGAGAAGTGATGTACTCTTTCACTTAATGTTGGTTTCATGTAAGTAAGGAGCTATACTTCTGAACTTTGGGTCATCTTTTAAAGTAATAGGTATGCAAATGACTCATTTGTATTCCTTTAATTCCCAGTTACAATTATTTTATGTCATTTAGGTATCTTTTATTTATTCCATACTTATAGAGCACTCTTATAAACTATATAAATGATTGCTTTTGTTGGTGAAAATATTTGAATTTTCTTATAAGACTTCTTGCTCATTTGTCATATTTTTCTTTTCCTACATATAGTCCTACTTTCTTCCAGGCAGAGCTGTGGATCAAAGAATTGTAAGTTATTTATTTTTGTTACCATTTTTCTTTCTCGGTCACTGTATTTTCAATTAGAAGAAATCAAACAATTAGCTGATCACTCTGCCTATTTTTAGTCAATAAGAATTACCTATTTATACTCTTTTAAGTTCTTGGGCTTTTAAAATTTTGTTGGAGTTAGAAGATTTCTGTACTTATGTTTATTAAATCTATAACAATTGTTGAAGCTAAATTGAATTGGAAAAATATTTCAAGGTTAGCTATTATATAAAAAGGAAAGTAAATGCCCTTATTTTGACATTGATAAAACTACTTTGTGGAATAATTCATATTTCTGGAGTTTGTAAAATCACTGAAAGCATTTAGTCTCCAGTTTCAGGAACTCACCTTAAGTTATCCAAATGCCCTGGTCTTGATGATTAAAAAAAAATAAACCATCAAAAATATAATATTTGAATTAAACCTCAATTATATCTTATACTATTTACTCCTTTGGGGTTCAACCCCCCCATTTTTGGATTTCCACAATAATCTTAGAAGCGTGTTATGAAAACTACATATTTATAAAAATTCACAACAGTTATCTGTTCACATTTAGCAACACACTGATATTTTTAATCATTTCAGTAAAAATGGTAGAATAAACCACACCATATGGTTTCACTCTGTGTCTTAAAATTTAAGTGTTGTGTTAAGTTAGTGTAAGGATTTTAGACTCTTTTTGTGAGGGTTCTGTATTTAGTACTCACTGTGCATCAACAATGTGTTTGATGCTAAGAGGGTGGTCCACAGTGTGTCACTTTCCTTTTCATTTCCTAGAACTAGTGTTTATGATTCTCGAGCACGGGAAAGATTGCGCCAGATTGAAGAGCAGAAAGCACTGGCATTACAGCTTCAAAACCAGGTAAAAAAAAATTGGGATAATAATATAAATAAATAGCACATCTGAGTTGAAATTATTTTGGAAGATTATCCAGATTTGGATAATTGCTATTGTAATTGCAAGATTGTATAGTAGAATAGCATTTTATGGTAAGTGGTGTATATACTCTTGGTCTATCCAGTCAGTACTACTCAGTGTACAGAAGACAAATACAGATGGTCCCTGATGTTACAATAGTTCGACTTACAATTTTCTACTTTACAATGGTGTGAAAGCTATAAGCATTTCAGTATACTCGACTTAGAATGGGTTCATCAGGATATAGCCCTATCATAAGTGGAGGAGCATCTGTAATATTGTTGTGATTTTTTTTTTAATCACAGCTATTTATTTCACTTATTCTACTTATTCTGAAGTTCTGTCTTTCAGAGATTGCAAGAACAGGAACATAAAGTACATGATTCACTTATTCTGAAGTTATGTTTTTCAGAGATTGCAGGAACAGGAACATTCAGTACATGATTCAGTAGAACTGCATCTTCGTGTACCTCTTGAGAAGGAGATCCCTGTTACGATTGCCCAAGAAACAGAAAAAAAAGCTCATAAATTAACTGATAGTGAAGATGAATTTCCTGAAATTACAGAGGTAAATTACATACTATAAATTTCTGCACTAGTAAGGATTATATTTAGAAAAAATGCTTTGGACAAATTTCAAACATAAAAGCAATAGGACAGTTGGTGTTTTAAGTTTTATTGCATACTTCTGCTTTCATTTGCATTGCATACCAATCTTGGCTTTATTTTTTAAGTATCATTGAAAATTGTTAAAAGAATTTTGAGTGACTTATAGCAACTTGAGTGAAAACATTTAATAAATTTTTATTTAATGCACATGTACAGTAATTTTACATCAAATTGTAAGCTGAGATTTACTATTTTTAATTAACAAAACCCATTACAGAAAATTTTGAAAATACATAGAAGTTTATGTACATTTTTAAATAATCTGTTCCTTTATTCATACTTCTGTTTGAAAAACTATCACACAGTTTGCTGGTGAGCATAACACATTTATTATAGTTGTACTGGACTTCATATTTTAAATCTAAAAAATTTTTTCTGGGAAAATAGTATCTAAAAGATACCACATTTATTCCCTTACTACCTTTTATGGAAAATTCCGTTTGTCAGGAAATCATCTGGATCAGTGATATAAAATATAGTTAGGTCTTCTCATGGGCTTAGAAACTTTGTTAGCCCAAGGTTATTCTAGACTTTAGAAATTATTTTAATATGAAACAAGGATCTAAATGTTGCACAGAAAAAGAGAAGGGAGGACTAGATGAAATGGAAAGAAGTAATCAGGGAGATTGTGGGGAAAGAAGAGAAACCAAAATGTTAGATGAAAGTAAATTGATTAATAGTAAATTGATAAACAGTTGATTAGTGATACATATAGTCTAGGGCTTATATGGGGATTGGTGAGAAATCTGGTTTGCCTGAGTCACATATATTTGATCTCTGACACCTTTTGGTTCCCTAGGAAATGGAGAAAGAAATAAAGAATGTATTTCGTAATGGGAACCAGGATGAAGTTCTCAGTGAAGCATTCCGTTTGACCATTACTCGCAAAGATATTCAAACTCTAAATCATCTGAATTGGCTCAATGATGAGGTAATCTTGCACCTAGTTTTACATACAAATAGTAAGTGAATGTTAAATGGAAATTTAATCAAGGCATTAATCTCACTATTTCTCAAAGTGTGGTCTTTGGATGACCTGCATTAGAATCACCTTTCACAGACAGGCCTCTGCATTCTCCTGACTGTGAGGGAGTATGGTGAAGATACATATTTTTAATAAGCATTTCAGGTGATTTTTATGTATTTTAAAATAAAGTCTGAGAACTGCTGAATTTACCTTTTATTGAATTGAAGAGTTGAACAATGAAGAAAAGGGCATTCACGCACTGGTATTCTCACACCCTACACTGCAATTCACATCTTCTGAGCAAGTATTTAATAGCTGACCATGTTGCCGCATGAAGGAATACTTTGAGATTTCTATAGGAATCCAGTTCTATTTCCCTTTCTACCTCTACTTGTTTTAGGTCACTTATATTATGAATGATAAGCTTTCTAAAATAGCCTCCAATTATATATGAAATTTTTTTTTTTTTTTTTTTTAGACAGAGTCTCACTTTGTTACCCAGGCTAGAGTGAGTGCCGTGGCATCAGCCTAGCTCACAGCAACCTCAATCTTCTGGGCTGAAGTGATCCTCCTGCCTCAGCTTCCCGAGTGGCTGGGACTACAGGCATGCACCACCATGCCCAGCTAATTTTTTGTATATATATTTTTAGTTGGTCAATTAATTTCTTTCTATTTTTGGTAGAGATGGGGTCTCGCTCAGGCTGGTTTCAAACTCCCGACCTCGAGCAAGCCGCCCGCCTCGGCCTCCCAGAGTGCTAGGATTACAGGCGTGAGCCACCGCGCCCGGCCTTATATATGACATTTTTTTAACTGACATGGAAAAGTTATATTATTGGCTGGGCATGGTGGCTCACACCTGTAATCCTATCACTCTGGGAGGCCGAGGCGGGCGGATTGCTCAAGGTCAGGAGTTCAAAACCAGCCTGAGCAAGAGCAAGACCCCGTCTCTACTATAAGTAGAAAGAAATTAATTGGCCAACTAACATATAGAAAAAATTAGCTGGGCATGGTGACACATGCCTATAGTCCCAGCTACTCGGGAGGCTGAGGCAGCAGGATTGCTTGAGCCCAGGAGTTTGAGGTTGCTGTGAGTTAGGCTGATGCCACAGTACTCACTCTAGCCTGGGCAACAAAGCAAGACTCTGTCTCAAAAAAAAAAAAGAAAAGTTATATTATTATTAAATATTTGATATATTGGGCAAAAACAAAGTTATAGCCTTCACCTCCCAATTACAATTATTTTACGTATATTAATTACACTACAATCTTTAAACTGATGTATTCCTAAGCCTGTAGGTGCCTGTTTTATCTCAGAAGGGTATTTTCACAGCAAAAGGAGAGAACTGGGTTGGGTGACTTTTCCTAAGTAGTTCCTTTGCTTGGCCTACTAGGAGCATCCCTGCCTCATCCTCAGGGTACACTCAAGCTTCACAGCTGTGGAGGATTTTTAGATTCTCTGTATAGTAAGGACTAAATATTCTAGATATCCATATCCTGTTTTGTATGCTTAGGATTTTCCAAATAGTATTGGCTAACATATATTGAGCATTTACCTCGTGTTAGGCACTATTCTAAGTGTTATTATTCTAAGTGTGTCTAAGAATTCTTGTGTGTTCTGGTCCTACAATAGTCATCATGTCCTTGGAAGTAGACACTAGAACTTTATCATCTTTATTTTATAGATAAAGAAGACATACAAAGATTAAGAAACTTGCAAGGTTGTGTAGCTAGTAAGTAGTAGAGCCAAGGTTCAGACCCAAGCATTGGGTCTTAACTACTATATCATCCTGCCTCAGAATCTTAAATTAGATTCTGTCTTAGGATCAGGTGTATAGGACTTAGGAGCCATATGTCATGCCCAGGATGTTGATTTTCTTTTGGGTCAGCTGAACTAGCCTCATTCTTTTTGTTACTGGTCAGTTTACAAGATAAAAGTTTCATCCCTGAAAAATATCTGTGACCTAGAACAGTAAGAAAGGTATGGTTTTATGCTGTCTTTATTTAGGGGAAACTCTCTTTGCTGCTTTTGGCTCAGATATTAGACCATTGGATCAAATAATAGAAAAAAAAAAAAAAGCTCACCAAATCAAAGGGGGAAATGAAAATCAAGGATAGTCAGATATGTGGTCTTTTGCCATTTTTTGCCTGCCACTACTGGAGGGGAGGATTCAGTTATTCTAGCCTGTTGTAAATTATGCAAAACCTTCTAGGGGGCAGCAGTGAGTAGGATATGAACTGAGTTCTTGCTGTTTACTGTGGTAGTTACCTCAGTGAGATCCCTTACAGAGACAGCATTCATCAGGACATATTTTCCATTCCCTGGGCCCATCAGAGGCTGGATTTTTAGCAAGCAAAGTTAATGGAAATTATATTATTTAGAGGAGATGAGGGGAAGGAATGATTCCTTGTCTACTTTATCCCTACCACACCTACTCATAACTTTGTCAGGAAGTGCTTTTCTTCTGAGTTCAGAATAATGCTAACCTTGAAAATAGGTGCCAATTCACATGTCCATAATGATTAGAACTATTTTTAAAAGCACTGTTTTCAAAGTACCATACTTCTTGGGCTTTCAAAGTTATTGCCCTTGAAAAGCTAACGTTCTGATGGAGTATTACTAGATATCCTGAAGTATTGATACTGAAGAATACTTAATTGTTTCTCAGTCATAAAGTATCAATCTTCTTTTGGAAGTAAGTTACCCTCTCTTCATTCCTGTTCTCCTTCCCTCAGATATTTTCGTTAATAACCATATCTCTTCTTTTTGTATTTCTTGTCAGTTTTATAGGATGTATAAACTAAAGTGACTGATACATTATTCTTACCATTTTATAGATAGGTATTACCATATAATAGCCAAGAAGTGAAAGGAATCAGATTCAGTTTATTAGGAAAATAAAATCCAGAAATCCTATAACTAGAATATGAACAGAAAGCCATTAGGCTACCTTTGCCTGTTTCTTTTCTAAAAGAAGACTAGAGTGCCTATTCCTGCAATAAGCTTTCAAAAGTTTTTTCATTAATGGATTTATATATAGGCAAATTTCGTTAAATTCTGTATAGCTTCAAAGGACCAATGATTGACAGATTCACATTTTACCTCAATATAAAAAAATGAAATCTTTCAAAAATGTAATAAGGGGACTGGCTACCTATAAAGAATACAAAAAGAGGCAGGAAGACTGATAAATCCCAGACATTGTAGATGATGATTTCTATACTGGATGAGATTGGCTATTAATAGAAATAGGGGAGGAGGATAGGGTTAAAGAGGAGAGGAATTAGTTGCAAAAGTAGGTTGAAAGTCACAATTAGGAAACAAAGAAATATTTTCAAATGAGTATCAATGCTAGAAATTATTAATTCCTGAGAATTGAATTGAATGACTTCTGGAATCCCTTCTAACTTTAAGATTCTAGGTTAATGATCCTGAGAACAGGACTGCTTTGGGCTTTGTGTTTCTCTTTATAGCTAAATAGTTCTGCTTCTTTAAGGAACCTAAGGATTATTTTATAGAGGTACATGGAAATGATTTAGGTATACAAGTAAATAAAACTGACTTTTGCTTCTGGTCATGACAAAGTAAAAGGAACAAGATTTATCATTTCAACTTAACTAGAAAACTAGACAAAATATATGAAACAATAATTTTTAAACATTGGCTGACAGGTAGTATAGGACAGTGATCCCTCCGAGACAGAAAATAAAAGCTCTAATTTCTTTACTTATTGGGGTGGTATATGTGTGTTGTGGGGAGGGGCTGGCAGAACCTGTGTAGAGGTGCTCTCCTCAAGTCTTTGGCTGAGTACTAATCTGTGCATGTATGAGAAGAAGCTGCCAGATGCTAGGGAAAGAACCATGAGAAAGAAGGCATCAGCACAATTTTAGAGCCAACACGGGTGCCAATAGTTTATGTTCCAACCAGTTAGAGTGGAAAAGCCTAAGTCACAAGGCATGGAGTAAAATTATCAGAATGGTATTGTCTCAGGAGAGGAACCAAACTGACTCTAGATAAAGGCTGCTTTGGATCCACTATAACAAAGCTTAAAAACAAATCTCAAAACTTGAAACTGATCTAAGCAAGTTAATTATATCACAGAAAAAAGCCCAACAATATTTAAAGTAGTACAACAAACCCTAGCAATAACAAAACCCAACAACATAAAATTCACAATGTCCAACATCCAGTCAAAAATTACCAGGCATACAAAGAGGAAGGAAAATACAACTTATGATGAGGTAGAAAACCATTAACTAAAAACATCCAGGAATGACTAAATTGATAAAATTAGTAGACAAGGATATTAAAACAAGTATTTATAAATATATTCCATATATTCAGGAAGGTAGAGGAAAATGGACATTATGGGGAGAGAAATGGAAGATATTTTTTAAAAGACCCAAATTGAACTTCTAGAGATAAAAAAATGTATCTGAAATAAAAAATACATAAGGTGGTATTAATAGTAGATTAGAAACTTCTGAGGAAAAAAATTGTGAACTTAAAGGTATAGCAATAGAAACTGTCTAAAATGAGATCCAGAAAAGAGACCAAGAAAGATGAGAAGACCATCAGTGAGCTATGTATAATATCAAGCAGTCTAAGCATGTAATTAGAATACCAGAGGAAAGGTGGGGGCATAGGTGGTACCAGAAGTGTCTGAAGAAATAATGGTAGATGATTTTTCCAAACTTGAAAACTAAACTGGCAATTCAAGAAATTCACCATAGAAGAAGAAGAAACACCATCCTAAAATGTATAACAATCAAATAGATGAAAACAGATGGAAATTTCAGTCTATACAAAAGAAAGAAAAGCAATAGAAATGCTCTCATTTTTTAATATCTCAAAAAGACCGTTGATTAAAGTAGAACTAAAACAACATACTGTGGGATTTACAGCATGTAGAAATAAAATATATGACAATCATGGTACAAAGTAGGGGACAAAAATGGAAGTACAA